TGGAGGCAGTGATAGAGTCATAGAGGGCTGTGCTGGGGTCCCTGGGGCTTGGGGGGGGGCAGGTCTGGGAGCTGGGGGGCAGTGACAGGGTCCCAGGATCCAAGAGGTCAGTGATGGGGTCTTGGGGGTCAGCGCTATGGGGTCTTGGGCTGTATTGGGGTCCCAGGAGGGTGAGAGGGCAGTGATGGGGTCCCTGGGGTCTTGGGGGGACATGTTGGGATCTCAGACAGCTGGGGGGCTCTGACAGGGCTGGGGGGATAGTGATGGGGTCCCTGGGATCTTGGGGGCTGTGTTGGGGATTCGTATCCAGGAGGGCAGTGATTGGGTCTTGGGCCATGTCAGGTGCTGGGAGGGGCAGTGATGGGGTCCCTGGGGTCTTGGGGGACCTGTGTCAAGTTCCCAGGGGGCCGGGAGGGTGCTATGATGGGGTCTCAGGATCTGAGGGGCAGTGATGGGGTCCCTGGGGTCTTGGGGTGCTGTATCAGGGTCCCTGGACCCAGGGGGTCAGTGATGAGGTCTTGGGAGGGCCATGTTGGGGGTCCCCGGGATCTGGGGAGGGGGATGTGGGGCCGGGGTGGGCAGTGGATGACAGGGGGGCTGCAGAGCCCCTGATGTACCCCTTCGGGTATGAGCTGGGTGATGCCACCACCCCCACCGAGGATGACGGGATGTCCCCCAAGATCCCCATCGATGTCCCCTTCTCCTTCTACGGCCGACCGCACCACAGCCTCTACGTGAGTGTGAGGGGTTGAGGGGCAGGGTCTGGGAGCCCGTGGGCTGAGAGGTCTGGAGGCCGGGGCGGGGGTCTGTCCCTGGGGCAGGCATTGCAGCCTGCAGCCCTCGGCCCGGGCAGGAAGAACCCAGGCATCTGGGACATGCGTCGCACGCGTGCAAGGAAGCTAGGCGTTCAAGGCACAAGTGCGCACACATACACAAGTGCAGGGAATCTGTGCGGGCCTGTGGGGACACGTACATGCATGGGACCTGGTGTGCAATGTGCACACGTGTATGCACAGATGGACACGGGGAAACGCATGCAGAACCCAGGCATGCAGGACACACACACACAGGGACCCCAGGTGCTCAAGACATACACAGGCACACAAAGAACCCGAGCATTTGGGATACATACATGCAGAACCCAGGTGTCTGGGACACATGTGCACACACACAAACACACATGGAACCCAGGTGTGCAGGACACACACGGACATGCACAGACCCCAGACATTCAGGACACGCGCATGCAAAACCCAGGTGCCTGGGACAAACACACATACAGACACAGAGCTCAGGTGCCCCACATGCATGCACGTTTGCGCACGCACACACACACACTCAAGCATCTAGAACACACACAGGGAACCTGGTGTCTGGGACATGCATACACATGTGCACACATGAAGGTGGTCCACCCCGCGCTCACCCGCACCCATCGCTACAGGTGAACAACAATGGCGTGGTGTCGTTTGGCGTGTCGGTGGCACAGTACACACCCGACCCATTCCCGCTGGCTGATGGGCGGCCCTTTGTGGCACCGTACTGGGGCGACGTGGACACACGGCTGGGCGGGCACGTGTACTACCGCCAGAGCCGTGATGCCGAACTGCTGCGCCGTGTCACACGTGACCTCCACACCTACTTCCCCAGCATCCAGTTCACCGCCACCTGGGCCCTTGTGGCCACCTGGGACCGCGTGGCCTTCTTTGGCGCTGCCACCACCGTGCACCGCAAGGTACTGGGGAGGAGGGGAGAGGGGAGCAGGGCACAGAGTGGGAGGCAGGGGGAACAAGGGCGTCACCCAGCTCGATCCCGAAGGGGTACATCAGGGGCTCTGTGCCCCTCCCGTCATCCACATACAGAGCTCCGGCGTCCGGGACATGTGTGCACACAGGCACACCAACATGCAGAACCCAGCTGTCCAGTGCATGCATGCATTGACACAGAACCCAGGTACCTGGGAGAGGTGTGTATGCACACACACACAGAACCCAGGTATTGGGGACACGTGTGCAGAGTTGTGCACACACACATACAGAATCTAGGCCTCTGGGACACATGCCTATGCACACACACATGTGCATGCATGCACACACACACACACACACACACACACA